ATCTCTTCGAGCCAGTGTCACGATGTAACTTATCTCAGGGTATACAGCAAATAAAATTAGTTCCAAGCTGCACTTGCAGTGAATTTTGCAATTAACGCAGAACAGATTCTTGCAAGACAACATGCCACCTTATCTTTCTGGACATAGAGGGGATGAAGCCAGGGCAACCTTGCTGTGGATCAGTTCCAGACCTTCGATCGGCATCAGAGAGTCGCACCAAAGCCACTCCGGCCTTGATCTGCTTGGAATCTCACAGGGGATTTCCCCATTTGTGATCGTTACAGGCGTGTGCTGGGAAGTTCATCGGGGGACGCCCCCAAGTATTTCTAGTCAGGCCCGGCCAAAGGAACGGGCAGATGGTGCCCCTCGTCCATGTGCTCGCGCTGGAAGCCATACTGCAGAATTCTCTGTGGGGGGGGGGGTCCCTAGTATATCTAGTCAGGTACGACCAAAGGAACGGGCAGACATCGCCCCTCGTCCATGTGTTCACGTTGGAAGCCATACGGCAGGATTCTCTTGGAGACTACGGCAACGGGACTGCGCTGCATCACGATCCAGTCGTAGGAGATCTTTTCGGAGAAGTGCTCGGACATCTTGTTGTAGAGGTGGAGTGCAAACACCTGCGTCGGCGAGAACCCGATCTGCTCCACGTCGTAGTTGAACAGACGGTCCAGGTACTCGGGCGTGTAGCAAAACGGGAAGAACCCGTCCGCGGCCTTCAGCACCTTCACCTCGGGGAAGATGTGCTCCTCGAAGCGGACCATGCGCGTCAGCGTCCACACCGAGTGTGTAGTCCAGCGCCCATCAAAGTTGTGGCAGGCGCGCCGCGCGTACCCGCAGATGAAGCAGCTGCGCGGCCGCGACACCATCAGCCCGTTGCCCATCTCCTGCGAGATCTGATAGGACACCACAGCCTCCTGGAACATCAGCGGGTCGAACGACTTTGTGATCAGCGCGTCAAAGTCCATGTAGATGCCGCCGTATTGCCAGAGTAGCGTCAGTCGCAGGAAGTCCGCTTGGTGCGCCAGCTCGCTGATGTTGGCGTGATTCAGGGCATGGGGCACCAGGCTGGTGCTCATCGGCTGAAACACGACCAGCGGATGTGCCTTGATGCGCCGTGCCCAGCATGTCGTCTGCCGGCCCATGTAGTGAACGATGACCAGGTCGGGGCGGATGAAGCGAATTGCAGACATCACGGACAGCCAGTGCAGGAACTTCATGTTGTCTCCCACCTGCATGAAGTGGACCAGGCGAGGCACGCGTCCCTTGCCCGATGCGCACGTCTTGTAGCAGTTCCGCGTCCAGGCACGTGAGTCTAAGCAGCGGAATGGCACGGTGTCCGGTACGAAGTACGTGCGATTCAATTTGTACACGCGTTGCTGCATGGCCATATCGAAATGATCCCATTCGGCGTCAGTGAAGTTCTGCGCCAGTTCGCTTTCTTCTTGGTAGGGCCAGAGAAATGGTGGACGTGTGCCTACCGGACTGGCAACTGTCGATTCACCGTTACCACCGACACCGACACCACCACCACTGCCACCACCAGCAGCAGCAGCGGGAGCAGCAGGATCTCTGCCCTTCCTGTTGTCAGCACCACCCAAATCGCTTGCTCGGATAGATGATATTTTCTCTAGGCCAGGGTTCAGCGTACGATTGCCAGCGGTGGCGTCTGTCGAGTTGTCCAGGCTCAATCCTGCGCGCAAACTCTCCGCATCCGGCATCACAACGAGCCTGTGTTCGACTCCCAGTCCATCCGGTGATAACGCGGTGGGCGGCTCATCTGTTGCTGCTACCTCTGCGTCCTGACGATCCGCCAGCTCCTGCTGCTTCGCCTTGCGTATGCGATTCAGAGTTTTCTCCACGAACTCGAAGATGTCGTCTCCGTCGCTGCCCGTTAGTTCCAACTTGCGCTGTGCCGCGCGGAGCTCACTCAAACTGTTCGCTTCCAGTTTCGCTTTGCGCTGAGCGGGTTGAACTAACGCAGCCAGCAACAGCAGAGTGACCAGCGATACACCTAATATGCACAGTAGGAGAGAGTGCAGAGATAGAAAGCCGCGCTCCGCGCTCGGCAGGATTCTGAACAGGAGTCGTATCGTTGTGCCCGAACTCCTCTTTCCTTGGGCACGAGCTGGACCGCTGACCTTTTCTCTACGCCCTACAGACATCTCCATCTTGCCCCCCTCACGCAGCTATCCCGAGTTGTGCTGATGGAAGAGCTAAGGTCTGCAACGTGCGGGACTCCCAGTACAGTGTTGAACCAGGTCACACCTGCAATAGACGTACCACCCTGATCGGCTTGAGCCGAGTTGAGGCGTGAGGTGAAGCTACCCCGTCTGCTTCAACCGCTTCACAACAGAGCTTTGTGAGAGTCTGAGGACGCTATGCGGGCTTCTTGGTGGGCCTAGTCTGGTCTAGATTCTAGCAGTATTAGGAAATTAGAGGCCACATGCCTTCTTACTGCTCTTTATTTTCCTAATACTTTGAAATTCTCCGTGAAGTCCAAATTTGAAATTAGATTCCAGCAGATCACTAGTAAGTAGTATCCTCTTCTCGCCGATCACGAAATCACTGGACTTCCTCCAATTCGCCTCTGCGCTGAACTGGGGACGCGCGGTGCAGTGTCGTGTACTGTCCGCTCAACAGGTAACAGATACATGCAAGTAGATGCAGTGTGACTGGGAGACTGGAAAGGGCTGACTTTCATTTTCAGTTCAGAAGACAGTGTGATACGGCTGCATGCTGTACTGTGCGGCTTTGTAACCCACGTGTCACGCACGATGTCACACTCACAGTGCACCGCATAATTCCTGGTCCCTTTCGTATGCTCCAAGGACTTTGGGTGCAGCGTTCCTCTCGAGCCCGTCATCTGTAGATTTGGCACATGTTGGCCAGGTAGATCTAGTGGGGAATGTCCGTGTGTGGCCTGTAGCCTATAGCCTAGTATCTTGTGCCAGAAGCACGCATCCCTTGCCTCCTTACTCTTGCTCTTAGCGCTGATGATGTCTAGGATACGGTCCTTTGCTCGCTTCGGTGAGGCGCACCGCCGAGGCCATTCGATGTGCATGCAGATTATTGTCCTCGCACATCTTCAGTCTGTGACGGGTTAACGTTTATCCTGCAGGCCTGGTCATTCGTGTGTACGTGTGAGTGTGTCGTTGCAACTGCTGATTAGCGGTTAGAACGACACGTACACACTCATACGTCGCGTAGTAGGTGAACTCAAAGCCACGTGTACGGTTCGTGTCGACACTGTCAAAAAAATTAAAAAGTAACGTTAGTTCGCACATTTGCGTTACCACCGGTATGCAACTGTTACTACCATACTTTGCTGAGAAGCACAACCAGCCTAAAGAATTTCCCCTCTTGACAGGCCACCGGCGTCATGCCTGGCTGTGTAGTGTGTGCACATATCCTGGGCCCGACCACTAAGCAGAAGGTATCGTACCACAGTGCAGCGTAGCGCATGTGCGCCAATCGGTAACTCAGTGAGCCGTTTGCATGTATGCATGCATGTGCTCCAGTAGGCCACTCCAGTCCCCAGCAATGTGGGCTTTTTCAATACAATCATGTATGCATCAGAAGCAGCAGCAGCCACACGCACATACATGATGTACCATACACACGCACACGCGCGCGAGTGCGCATACACCACACACACACACACACACACACACACGCACAGCACACACACACCACACACACACACACACACACACACACACACACACACAAGCACACACACACACACACACACACACACACACGCACAAGCACACACACACCACACACACACACACACACACACACACACACACACACACACACACACCTCAGACCTCAGACCTCAGACCTGCCCATCGCGGAAGCGATGATAGCGAACAGCTATGTTGGACATAGCAACTTGTGCTGGGATTACACCATTCACCAGTTTGCAAGGCTGATGAATTGACCGCCACTATTTTTAGCCTGGTACACACACCATGTACACACACACACACACACACACACACACACACACACACACACACACACACACACACACACACACACACCATGTACACACACACACACACACACACGCGCGTGGTGCGCGCACACACACACACACACACACACACACACACACATAGACACAATAATTATAACCCCACAGACAAAATATTTACATTTCCCTGGTATGATATCAGCACGTGGGTAGAACTGGGTACTGTACAGCGTGGCTGAAAGACGCTATTGGTCTTGCAGCGTGGCAAAATTAATTCACAATAGGTTACCTAATTGCCTCGGGTGTGAAAAGGGGACGTTACCTTGCAACCGTTTCATGTTCTAACATGTACTACACTGTGATACCGGTACACGACCCAGCCATCTTTTCCCAGTCTTGGAAATCTATAACGCTGGCATGCGGCACGTATAAGCTGACATTGTAACTGTTTTTGCGCTAAAGCAAAACAATGTGGATTGCCCGTTCTTAAAGTTTCGCCAAAAACACAGTTTTCAACACCATGTGTGTGCAGGGCGCCGGGCGTTGGACACGCTACGGTCACTACGGTATCATGGGTATTGACCGTACCATTATTTGTGGCAAGTACCCCGTGAATCAATAAAATGCACTGATTTAGGCTCTAAATTTCCAAAATTTTCGGCTCTGCCACCCCTCCCTCACGCGCAAATTGTTCTTCAGATAGCTGACCGTACCACACTAAATTACCTTCCGACACCCCTGAATTGTGTGTTGGATAATGCACGTCTGTGCCCAGGAATACGGTGCTAGGTACTTGCAAAGCCATCCCAACTACACTACAGCAAAATCTGCAACTAAAGACCACTGTGACTAGCGACCAGCCTGGTACTACAGACCACTTTGCTAGGCGCGGACGGTCTCACATTATCGTGGTGCGGTGCAAACCTCTAACATTATCGTGGTGCGGTGCAAACCTCTAACTATTATAACGACCACCTGCCACTAAAGACCGCTTTCTCTGGCCCCCAGGGGTGGTCGTTGGTCACAGGTTTCACTGTACTTCAGTACTCGTATCAACCTATTCAGATTCTGATGATGTGCGTGCTGCACTGAAGTGCAGTACATGTGCTGAGAAAAACTACTTATCTGGTGTAGACATCTAGATCTACTACCGGTATCTTGCCTTCTTGGGTAGACTGTACTACCGTCCAGTCGTCACATCACCGCTGCGCTGCGCTCTTGAACTACTCTAGTTGAAGTCATCGCACGCACGGCTGATGACCGTAGACTTACTAGCATCGCCATCACCACGATGCACACCACCAGCAAGCGATTCCTGGCCCTGAGACTCAGTGAGAGTGGAGCTGGGCAATGTTGCCTTCACTGCCATACAGTCATATCCATAATCAGCCTGTCCGACTATGTCACTTCCAATTGACTGGCCTCCGTTCAAAATGGTGGTTAAACATTAGAGCAAAGGGGCCTTCTACCTGATTAACACTGTTGCGATCAATCAGACCTCAGAACTTGAGTGATTGTAAATACCAGTACTGGATAATATTGAAGGTCTGGAAGAAAACAGGCACCAACTTTGAGGACTCGCGCACTGCTGAGGTGCGCCTGGTGCCTGGTGCACCGGTGACGATCCAGACCAGGCGCTAACTGATAACGTTAGTGAAGAACCGCAGTGCTGTACTGTAGCGCAAAAAAACACACTACGAGTAGTGTGCACATGTACCAAAAGTATCAGCAAGAGTGCACTAAAGTATTGTTATGCATAATATCTGGGCCTGCTCGCGCTCGTAGATTCGATAGTAAATGCTGCTGTCTGATGGTCGCTGAAATGCGTGAAAGTTACAGTTATGCAGCCTACCGTACCGGTATTGTTATATGGCTGTACTCTAAGCAGGGGCGTCGGAACCGGTGCGGCAGGTGCGGCCAAAGCCGCACCAATAATTTTGGAAGTTTTTTTTTTTTTTTTTTTTTTTTTTTTACATTTTCAACCTGACTCTTGTACAGGTACCATGTTTTACATCGACAATGCGGTGTGTCATCAGCATGCATATTCTTATTTCTCATAATATTCGGTAGCATTAAAAATATGGCCTTTTAGGCCCAATTTTCAAAAAAAATCCCGGGGGAGGACCCCCGGACCCCCTCTCACACTTTCGCCGCACCAATGTTAAACTGCTTCCGACGCCCCTGCTAAGTCTTGAGTCTTGGTATTAGGCCTTGACGGATTATGCTAATATTTTCGTGAAATTATGCTTTTCGCATTGCTGAAAAAATTCCCGAATTATGCTATTTTTATGCTAAAAGTTATCATATTATGCCGCATTATGCTCACATATGCTGCTACTGTACATGATGGTTCTGTGCAAAATAACAGGGGAATTTTATGTAGAGGGCGTTGTACTGCAGTAGCAAAAGTTCAACGGGGTCAACGCACTGTCCGACCTACATGTAGCTACGAACGTCACTGATTGTAGTTGACTGGGCATATTATCAAGGGAGTCGTAAACCTCCGATTTCCTGGTGCATCTACTTGTACTTGTATAACATGTACATGTACTGTATGGAATTTGATGCGAAAAGGCGGATTATTCCAATTTATGCGATTCGTATGCAATTAGCCTCGAATTATGCGATTATTCAATCTTGGTAAGAATTATGCGAAAAAATATGCTAGCATAATCCGTCAAGGCCTACTTGGTATAGCTATGCTCATATTATGAGCCATATCAAACATAGCTATACAGTAATGTAAGTAAACAAGTACCAGTGACTACAGTTCTGGCCAGAGAAATCCGACCACATGAAAAAACTGCTATGTACTGTATGTAGTACCAAGAGTCCATAACCCAAGAGTATGCAACTGTGATTAGATAGGTTAAGGAGGCTCCCACCTAAAGAAGCAAAAATAAAAGGTCCATGAACACCCTGTTTTTTATGCATAGAATGGTGGAGTGATGTCTCCTCTTCAATTTGGTATAGTTTTTAGGTAGGGTCACCAGGCATATAAGAGGTATTCTGGTGTATTTAGTGAGTGTACAATTTCTTGATTTTTGGCAAAAAAATGGTAAAAAAAATTGGTTTTTGACCCAAAGAAGCCTCCTGGAAGGAGGATACTAAGTATTTTCTTCGTCATGTGTTTAAGAACCACATTTGGAGGTATCTTGGGTACACAAGATAGACTGTGTCTTGGTTTTGCCCTTGGCGAGCCACTTTTTCGAAATTACGGGTACCGAAATTTCCATCGGGTGCTGAATTGTGAAATGGTTCAGCCTGCAACATTTTGTCCATGGACATATTGATTTTTGTGGCTTTCTGTGATCCTTGAGCCCCAAGGAAACCGATAATGGACAGTTTTGATGGTGTCACCAGGCACTTTAGGCCCCTACCAAACAATATAGGTATCAAAACATGGTATTTTTAGGCCAATTCTGAAAATAGCATTTTTAGAAAATCTGACCATTCTTGCCTTCTTGACTAAATATCACTACCAATGACATGGTAGTATGGTAATATTATTTTAGAAGAAGTTATTTTCATGCTGCAACCTCCTTTGGACATACCAGACAGTCTGTGCTTGGAAAGGTACATGTATCATTACATGTATGTCATGCAGCCTTCAGTCCTAGCACATTGATATACGAGTAGTGTACATGTACATGTAAGGTAGCGAGGTTTCATAACAACCTCGACCATGAAACTGGCTCATGAATAATGTGAAAGCAGGCATTCAAAATAAGGCACACTAAACACTCAAACGCGTGCGCGCGCATGCACATAAACACCCACCCACACGCACGCTCGTGCACGCATCATTGTAACACTACTAGTCCATAGTAGGACTTAGTGTAAATAAAAGCATGAAGACCAGCCACTGCACTGGGCATGCATTTGCTGGTTGTCACTTGCGTT